TTACTCTTAGAGAGGAGATGATATTGTAAGCGTAAAACAAGAACATGCTCTATAAAAACAGAACAGAGGAGAGTTTTGGGGAAGAAAAATTACGATAGCCATAAAGAAAAATTCAGTAGGAGATTTGGAAGATAATGTTGAAGAAATTTCTCAGAGAGTACATCAAAAAGATCAAGGAGATGGAAAATGAGATGAAAAGTAAAGCACTTAGAGGATCCAACCAAAGATCCGACTTTCGAACAAGGAAATGGAGGGAATGAAATCATCTAAAGAATCACACAAGAAAATTCCTCAGAACTGACATGTGTAGAGAACAGTCTTCACCGGAACAGCGGGTAGAAGAAAAATAAAAGCAGAGGAAGAGGAAATTGGAAATTGAGCACTTGGCAAACAATATTGAAAAATCAGAGTCAATTTAGGCAAATGAAAACGTAATACAAACTGCCAAAAGAAAACTGTAGGTAGCTATTAATTCCAGGGAAAAAAATGAAGGGTTGTACAAGAAGGAAGTAGTTGTGTTCTACTTGTGTAAAATGTCCTGTTTGTCCTGCTTGACTTACAGTGACAAAATATATTTTAGCAGTCAGAATAAAATAAGCCCTACATAGGAAGGACAGAGAAAGGGGGAAGGAAGCAGTGAGAGATAACACTGTCATGCTGAGACAGCAGTAAAATATATTATTTAAAAATATGGAAATACGAGGGGAAATACACAGTTGAAAGAATTCAGTATTTGGTTTGCGAGAGAAGGTTTGGCATTTTTATAATTCTTTTAGTAAAATTTCCCTTAATAAAAACTATGTACATACATTTGTAAAATGCATAATGTAATTTGAATAAAATTAATTCTAAAGGGAAAAACCAGGGCTGGCCGAGTGGCGCGTTGGGTAAGAGTTGGCTTGGGACGCCAGCTCTGAGCAGCAGGGCCCAGGTTCGGATCCCACATGAGGGCCAGTGACACTGCGCCCTCTACAGCTAAGATGGTGAACAACAGCTCAGCCTGGAGCTGGGCTGCTGAGTCGTTGGCAACGGTGTAGGCTGCAGTGGGGCCGCAGTGAGCTGCCTTAAAGCTACTGTCAGTGGCCAGCAGCCTGCGTGAGCTGCCAAGAGCCGCCGTGAGTGGCCATCCAGTGGTCGGTGACTGATCTACCTCACCCAGGAAGAGCGCAATGATAATACCAACATGGGCCAGTGAAGCGATGTCCTCCACAACTAGACTGAAGAACAATAGGACAGTAACTTGTCTGTTCCCCTTCCCCAATTCCCCAACGGTGTTCCCCTCCCCCAATTCCCCAATAAAATCTTAAAAAAAAAAAGGGAAAAACCAAGATTATAACAAAGGGTAAGGGACTAGAAAGTGAACAGTTCACTTAGACATTTCATACATATGTAAAATTTAATTAAAAGAATTTTAAATGTCAAGCTGGATACTATTTAAAAGTTTTCTAAAGTTTGGTCAAATGATATTTCTCTTATTTCCACATTACGTTAATGTGTATATTTACTAAAATTATGCTTCTGTTTGGCATCTTTACATTTACATAAATATAGTAAATTTTTTAAAACAAGACCAAAAGATCCAAACTGTCATTCATAGCGTTCTACTAAGTTAATAATAGTAACTCTATAACACTGTATCTCTGCAAAACTTTGTTTTCAAAGTGAGGGTAGGAACGGCTCAATTCCCACCTTAGCCACGGGTTGTTCTAAAGAATAGAAACTCACTTAAACTAGCTAACTACTAATAGGGAATTTACCTAAAGGATAAAACACTATTTCAAAAACTCAAGGACTAGAACAAGGACACAGAATTCCATCAAGATCCAAGACTGCTGACTTCATTATCTCCATTCGCTCTCTCTCCAGGGCCACAGGGGCTCACATCTCTCATCTTGTTATGCATTTGAATCATTACTTTCTCTCTGGAGCACATTTCTGTTTCACTTACACAAGCCAAACATGGTCATTCCAGTGTCAGCTTTATGTGATATCCCTGAACGTCTCAAAGTTGCTGACTAGAATTTCTAAGTCCCACTTCCAAATGCTTGGAAGACAGAATCTGATTGGCTCAACTTGAGTCAAGTGCCTACAATTGATCCAATCAGCTGTGGGCTGTGCGTGTGCGTGTGTGTGTGTGTGTGTGTGTGTGTGTGTGTGTGTGTGCAGATGTCATGTGACCTGATGCTCACTCAGCAGGGATTTTGGGAGAAGAGGTTGACAAACAGGCAAATTGATTAACTCATTTGCATTACCTTTTCAGCTCTCTTGACAAGACTCTAAAAGTTTCTTTTCCTCCTTAGCCCAGTTCCTCCAAAGTGGCTACTCAGTGAACTGGAGTGAATGACAGGGATCTGAAGTAAAGTGGTAAAATGTGAAAAGTGTAAAGAATATATGTCATTCTTTTCATTTTTGCTAATTTTGTTCACATGTATGCACTAGAATCCTAAGGACATTAAGAGGAAATTCCAAAGAGAAGAGAGAGAAGAAAAAAAACTGTGTTAGCAGGGTTTATCAGAAGTGTTTTTATGGGTTAAAGAGGTTCAGTGTTAGCTTATGTGTGGGAAGAGATGTGAGACAGGTGATTATAATCTCACTGCATTCCACATTGTGCTAGACAAGTTAGTTCAGAGTAGGTAGTTGCTTACTTTATAAACTTAGAAACCATTTGGGCTTCCTGGATATCTGGCTGAAAATTCAAGTCAATTGCCTGCAGATTTTACAAATTTAAAGTAGATGGATTAGTAAAGTGTAAGTTAAAATATAATAAATAAAAATTATCTTTGCTTCTTCCAAAGATATTAGTTTTAGATCTACATCAGGCTTCTATTTGACTTTCACTAAGGAACTAGTACACAGTTTGTAGATCACCCTGTGCTAGAGCTGAATGATGAATGGGAAAGAACATAGAAATGATGACTTCATCCCAGTGATTATTTTAACCACTTGAAATTTATTTTACTCATGCGTCAAGTATTGTGCTGTGCTTTCACAGCCATTTTCACATTTAATCTTCTTAATAACCATCTGGGGTAGGTATTATTGTCTTTTATCAATGAGACAGTCAAGCAGTTATGCAGGGTCATATTATTAATAACTGGTATATCCAGAAACCAAGGCAAAGTTTTAGAATTCCAGGGAATATCACTGTTTTAGAATATTAGCTGCAATTGAAAAAAAAAACCCAACTAAATCAATGAAGTTTTTTTTTTGGCAGTAACCCCGAGAAATGGCATGTTCTTATATTTATGTCATATATTTATTCAGATTATTATTTGTATGTCTATGATTGCATTTGGGTGTCTATTCCTGAGTGACAAGTTTTTCAAAAACAACTGTCTCCTCATCCGTTTGTCCACTGGTAATTCAAAGATATTATACAATATTTCAAAAGCTCAATTACCAGAATCTTTCAGCAAAAAGTTTTTATATTTTATTGAGTAATACATACTTCTTCTTCCTCAAATAAAAAAATTCTTTGTTTTCTTATTTAAAAAACTGCGTCTTTAAGTTAGTAACTACTCTTAAGTGACTGTGATCTGAAACTTGAGAGAACGCTCAAAATCACATCAGTGTACTCTGGTTGAACTTTTGTTTTCCAGTTAATTGTGCTTAGCATGCAGCTCAGGTTGATAATCTTGTCTGTGTTGACACTAAAGTATTTACTCATTGATATTATGCTGCCTGCTATAACTATTTTTATAAGTGATAAACCAAATTTAGCTCCTGATAGTTAAAAAAATATTTAGCTGTTATCATTAACATTTCTCAAAAAATGATTATAAACATTATTTTATTTTGTTTTTCATTTCCTAGAATGTTTAGAATCGGAAAAGTTTTGTTCAAAATTAATGGTTAAAGGTGTTATTAGCTACTTATGAACTACATAAAAACCTTCAAGACTAGTTTACATTTTTAAAATATACAGTGGAAATCTGACCTCTTATGCCCTATACTCATAATGAATCAGACTGGATTAATGATAATAATCCTAAATACCATTTTGGGCTACTAAATTAATTATTCCTTAAATTAACATATTAGGCAGTATCATAATTGGGGCAACCAATGCATTAAAATAGATTACTTTTCACAAAATTGATTTTACATGTTGTGTATTTCAAACCAGAGTTAAATGTATTAGACTCTTATTTTCAAAGAATGCTGATGAAGCAAAATACACTGTGTAAACAAAAGATAATTCCTTTTGAGAGTTTACAGTGTAGAGACATCTGTAATTCGCGAGATTTCTAATTTTTGTTCCTGCCTATGGATATTGCTTGATCTGCTATTTTATTGAGAGGCTGGACTTCAGCTCTGAAATTTACCTGCAAAATTATTTTATAACAGAAAATAATATGCTTTTGCTTTCAGTGTTACTACTGTAAAAAAAAAAAATGGACTACAACTAGAATATCAAGGCCTCCTTTAGTTTTCTTCCTAAGAACAGCAAGGAAGTTACAACACAACACAACATAAAAATTTAAAAACAAGAAGAAAGCACAGATTTGTGAAGGCGTATGTCAGATTCAGAAATCGCGCCCAGCCTGAAGCTTTACAACAGACAGAGCACCCAGGCGGGATCCGAAAGGGAGGCTCCTTTATCAAGGGTCTAGATTACATCATCATTGATTTCATCTTTTCCATCTCCTAACTTTAATGGCTCTGCTTTCCCAAAGCCTGCTAGAGTTTATCCCACGGGTCTTCAAAATCAGTGAAATTTAAAATAGAAACACTGCTTCTGTTTTCTTTATTGTCTTTTCCATTTGTTGGTACCACACCTATTGGCAGAGATAACAGTACCTTCTGCTCCAGGTCCAATGAAAATGCACTTTATATATCCTCTATTTTTGTCAACGAGATCGATAAGTTTTGTGATTTGTCAAATGAAACACTAATAATACATTGATTCTCCTTCGTGTATAATTTTAACCAAAATGAATTTTGCTGAATTTATGAGACAAGAGCTATATCCAAAAGAAATTTGCCAGAAATACTTTGCGTCATGAGATACTTCAACTTTAATTTTATTTTTCTTCTTAGATCAGAGTGGAGCAGCCCTCTACCAAACATGTTTTAAAAATAAACAAAATTACAGTAGTTCTCACTTTCTAATATGTTCACTTCTTCAGAGATTTACTGGGAAGGAGCAAAAAATCTTGAAGAGGGTAATAGGTCCCAGCTGAGAACCATGTGCCAAGATGCTCAGTGACTTTTTTTTCCTTAAAGACCTAGACAATAAGGATAGGAAACAAGTTTTAGCTATTTGGGAGTGTTTCTTTAAAAAAAAAAATCTATACATTACCATCTTGAAAATAGATGAGTTACCATTTCAAATTGCTTTAACTTATCTGAGAGTAGGAAGGGATTTAAGAAGTTATCAGCAGTTCTCAAATGTGTATGCCATGTGGTGTCAATTCATAGAAGTTGTCACTGGCCTCTGGTAAAGAAGTTAAATTTAAACTTCTTTCCAGGGGCTGATTTTTAGTGAATCCCTTAACTTCTTTGGTGTTAAAATAGCAATTTTAAGATGAAATGATGTGAAGCTAAATTGTAGTTGTTACTTTTAACGTCCTCACTTAGCAAGATAAAAAGTTGACATGTTATATTGGTCCCCCCACCTTTTTCCTTGAAATTTTACTGGTTCTTAAAGCCCCAAATTGGTGAGCACTGACCTAATAGAGCTTCTGACTTTCCACAGATACTTACTGAGTCGCTGGTGACAGATCATGAACATGACGCAGCTTTCGAATAGAGCTGAGAATCTAGTGATAGACACAAATAAGTAATGATAATAATACAATGGAATAAGTGCTTTCAGGGAGAAGAAAGCCATGGAATACTGAAGCATATGAGCAGGGTCCCTAGCCCCCATCTAGGGTAGCCAGGCAAGGATTTCTCCAGGAAAGCAATAAAAAATATGAGTAGGGTATAATGTCCTGGTGAGCAAAGTATCTCCTTTAAGGTATCTAGGTACTTGGAAAAGCAAACCAAAGGGTTGCTTTGTCATCATGGAGTTAGAACAAATGACTATAATTAGAATTTTGATGAAACAATCATGTCCCAGCCAACACGACAGTTCTTTAGTGAGCAGATATTAATTTCTCTTGAGATGGTAGTGGGATAACATTTTTGAGGCAAAAAGTGATATTCTCTCTGAGAGTGGAATTTGCCTCACTCTCCTCCAGACCAAATCACTGTCTCAGAGGGCGAAAAGTGGGAAGGCAGAAACCTCATCTCTTTGGTTTCAGTTTTCAAAACCCATCCAAGAGAATACATGGTCCTGCACGAGGGCTGGGTGAGGGGTCGGCCTCCTAACGTGCTATGTGCATCCTGGATGCCCCTCCACTGCCTCTGAAAGCAAGACCCGGGCCGGCGCTGCTCTCAGAGCTCCCAGCCACCTTCTGTGGTCTCAAATACTAATGGGAATGTGCTGTGAGGGTGACACAGTGTCTTTCCTGTTCAACTGAAGGCTCAATAAATGTTACCTAACTAAAAAAAAGGGGAGATACACAGGTGCCTCTGGATAAATCACAAGTACGACACCATGACAATGCCTAAGGAATAAAGCACTGAGGATTTGCGGGGATCTCCCGAGACTGAAATATTCCTCTCGCAGGGCTGGGAAACGGGGGCAGGAGGAGAGGAAGAGGAGAATCAAGGGGAGTTGATAAAAGCAGAGTTTGGTGGCTCCCAGGGAAAGATGCCCTATGTCCAGTCAGAGTCTCAAGGAGGTAAGAGCACCCAGGAAAATAAAAGGCTGGAAGGTATGGCTGGAGGGGAACCTTGAATTCCCACGTGATCCAAAAGTAGTCAGGAGGGTCACGGGAGGTGCTTGTGGAGCGAAACATGGACAAATACTGCCAACTGGAAGACCAGGTGGGCTTCCCAATGCCTCGAGGCCACAGAAGCATAACTGCTATGTAACTGGTATGGCTGTACTTGTTTCTATATTATCAAAGTACTTGGCTCTCATTGATAAAGAGCCATTTATTTACTCAGAATCACCCACTCACCCCAAACTAAAGGATTAATGCCTGAAATAGCAGAGGACCCTCCAGCATGCTGAAACATCACTAAAGCCAGTGTCTGTACCCTGTTTGATATTGGTTGGTATATCAGTTACCTATTGTTATATGACATTTTACTCTCCAAATTGGCAGTTTAAACCAATAATAAACATTTGTTATCTCACAGATTCTGTGGGTCAGAGATTTGGGAGTGGCTTAGCTGGGCTGTTTTGGCTCATGAGCTTGCAATCAAGACATCTGGGTCTACAGTCCTGACTGAGCCCGGGGGACCAATCCTAAAATGTCTCATTCACATGACACCCAAGTTAACAATGGCCATTGCAGAAGGCTTCAGTTCCTCGTCAGGTGGACCTCTCTGTGAAGCGCTTGAGTGTCCTCATAACATGGCAGCTGAATGAGGAACCTAAGAAAGAGCAAGGCACAAGGTACAATGTCTTTTATGACTTAGCCCGGAAGTCATACTCCATCATTTCTGAAATTTCCTATTGACACTATAGTCATCCCTACTCACTGGGAGGGACTGACTACATAGGATGTACTAACCAGGGAGCGAGAATCACTGGGGACCATCTTGAAGGCTTCTACCACAGTTGGTGACCTTGCCCAATGGGTTGTTAAATATTTTGAATATCGCTTTCACACACAAGTCAGACTGGCCTTGAAAAAAAGGAGGCAGCAGTATGGAACAAATTCCAACTTACTGAGATTAAATTTCTGTCTTCCTCCAAGAATGGTACCGCAAGTAGAAATTGAGTTTTATAAAAATGCAAATTTGGTCCTTGCACACCTGAATTTGTGTACTGAGATTCAAAGCCAATGTGTGTCATGTAAGTGCTCCCTGAAATTGACAGCCAAAGTTTTCTCCGTTCACCACTCCTCTTCCGTTGCTGTAACTCTTTCTTTAAAATGTATAATCTTTCAATAACTTTGCTATTCATCTGAGTCTGGGATGTACTCTGCCTCCTTCCATTAGGTACCAATTTCATTATATCATTCATCTGGCAGCCCAGAATATGGACCACTTGCAACGTCCTTCCTCAAAGGGCATCTGTGCGGCACGGAAAATGCTAGCTAGGGCTGCCTTGGCATTTAGAAGAGAGAAGAGCAGCAGGGTTTGCAGTGAGGGTCTTTTTGGGGGATAAAGTACTGATAAAATTTGGCCTTGCTTAAATTAATTAACAAGCAATTATCAATGATAGTATGGCAGCTTACCCAATGAATTATCAAGGGCCATTCTCAGTGTAATGTCTTTGGAATTTTCTAATACTTCATGGAGAGCTTGAGTTCTAGAATTTTAGAAATACTATTTAGAAAGCCATTTTTCAGAGTCATGCTGTTTTTCTCGGTAGGATGTTAAAATTTAAAGTTACTTGGGTATATTTAGAATCTGAGGGAAAAAAGAAAGAACTATGAAGTTCCAGGTAATTTATCAATGGTAGTAGCATTAATTCCGAACCCAAGAAAATACTGACTGACGTGTGTCTCATAAAAACACAAGCAAATTGTCAAGTCTCTGTGGGCTATATATATACTACTGTGTCTTTTATTTAACACAAGGCAACTATTGCTGAGCTATTAATCATATACCAGAAAAAGACATTCTGTGGAGCTGAAATAGAATTTCCATTTTAAATAGCTTCTGAACTAGCTAGTACTGCAGAAGAACACATGCTTCCACCTCATGAAAAATGAACGATTATACCCAGAATGAAAGAATAACAGCGGCTACTGGGGCAGCTACGGAGGTGCAGTTAGACTCTCCGTTCAAAATTCACTTGCTATTCAGCTGCAAGGAGTACAGGGAGCTGACAGCCTCTAACTATTAGAGCCTTCAGGCTCATCTCAGCTTGAGTTGAGGCCACGCCCTTCTAGGCAGCCTCTGGACAATGGCTGAACATGTAGGGGTCCTAGGACTGGCCATTTCTGCCCAGTGTAGGCCTCCTCTGATGGGTTATGTTTGCTCTGGAGCTTTTCTCATTAAGTTGGCTGATAACTCATCAGATCTAAATCACAGTGTGAGGCTCTTTCTGTCCAATCATGCTTCCTTCTCTCTTTTCTTTCACAGGTAGCAGAGGAGCACAGTGGTCTGAAAGCTTTCCCCATCCTATCCTGCTTCTTCCCCCTTTGATCTTTCGCATGGCGTGCCCTCTAATAAACCTCTTGCTTTCATGACACTATTGCAACAGCTGCTTCCCAAAGACCAAAATGCCACAGCTACTCTTTACTAAGAACCTACTATGTGAAGGAGTATATCATAGTGTGTTTGGGGAAGTCATTTAACCACTCTCAACTGTTCCTTTATTTATAAAGTGAGGTTGGTGTAAGAATTAAATGAAATAATCTACAAAGAGCAATTTGTACAGTGTGTGGTAGACAGTAAGTACTCAATAACTGGTATATAACACTGTGTGTTATGCCATATGCCAGATTCTGTGTGAGGTATTCCAAGTTTATTACTTCTAATTCTTGTTATAATCAGCAATTATGCTCACTTTAAATATGAGGAAGCTAGGGTTCCATGAAGTTAAAATAACTTGTTCGAATTACTGAATTTACATAGCTAGACTGTGTAACCTGGAATTAAAGCCCAGCAACTTCCATGGAAGAGAGCCATGTGTGTATGTTGGCAAAGAATCCATTGCTGTTCCCTAGACTGCAAGGAGCTCCACCCCGCCCCATCTATGACACGGTATGTACAATTTGAATTAAATACAAGCTACTTTCAAGGTTCTTGCATAACTGTAAGTCTATGCTCTTAATTCCATCACATACATGACAGTAGAATCTGGCAACGGGTGCTTAAGACTAAGCATTTGTTTAAAAGCTTAGAAGAGCAATATATAATGCCACTGCTGCTCCCTGATGAGTACTGGACAGTTATTTTTGCAGAATGGCCCTCGATTTTGGTTTGTCTGATGTTTTCCCATGATTAGATTGAGGTTATGTATAATATTCCATAATCTTGCTATTGCTTGAACAATTACATCAACTGAAATCATTCCTCCTCTGCTTGTCCCTGCCTCCACCCCACCCACAGGACAAATGTTCAAGTCCATTATTAAAACATGCAAAAAAAATCTATAATAGAAACATAATGAGCAGAAGCAAGTTATTAAAATGCTAAAATTTTGTAGTGAGGTGGCAGTAATTTGAACCAAGTGGTAGCTTTTGCAGCACACCTATATTGTTCCTTACCTCAGTTTTTAAGATAAACAATGTTAAATATAATTTTAAAAATTATTCACATAAAGTTTTTAAAAAAGCATTTGAGATTGTGCTGCTTGCTCAGGAATGAGGTGGTGATGGATAGGGTTGGTGGAATGGATTTAGGGGGAGGGAGTTTTCTTACAGACATTCTGACAAGAAACCAATCTTTTTCCCAAATAAATCCATGGGGTTGACTAAATAAGCCCTCCCCTGTGCAAAAAAGCATATGATCTGAAAGATGAGATGGCCACTTTATGCCCAATGTGTCTATTTGGCCTTTAAGCCAATTTTTGCCAAGAGTAGTCAGCATGACTATAGAAAGAAAAAGATGACCAGTAAAGTAAGTGACCTTGTGGCCTGGTGGCAGGTAAGATACCTCAGAACTACAGGTCTGAAAGGGTAACTTACTCACTTGTGGCTAGAGTGATGCTACCAAACCACTAAAGAGAGGGACTGTTAACACAGTGTCCTTCGGTAGATGATTGAATAAAGATGTGGTATATACACACAATGAAATACTATTGTGCCATTAGAAAAGATGAAATAGTGCCATTTGCGACAACATGGAGGATCTTGAGATTATTATGCTAAGCGAAGTAAGTCAGACAGAAAAAGTCAAGAACTATACGATTTCTCTGATATGTGGGATATAAAACTGAAAACAGCAAAAGAACAAGACAAACAAATAAGGAAACAAAAACTCACAAACACAGACAATAGTTTAGTGGTTACCAGAGGGTAAGTGGGGGAGGGAGGGTAGTAGAAGAGGGTAAAAGGGATCAAATATATGCTGATAGAAGGAGAAATGACTCTGGTTGGTGAACACACAATGTGATATATGGATGATGTATTACAGAATTGTACACCTGAAACCTATGTAACTTTACTAACCATTGTCACTCCAAGAAACTCTAATTAAAAAAAAAAATTTAAAAATAAAAAATAAATAAAAATTACATCTGTAACAGAATAACTTATAATTATAAAAATGTGTAAGATAATATTCAGTATATTTTTGCATGAGTTTACCCATAATGCTATCAGTTTGTTGTGAATAAATACTTTTTTGAACATTTTTCAAGTAAAGTTATAGTTCTATTGTAAAAAATGGAGTCTAGATGGGCTCCAGAGACCATGGGTCACAGCTGTAGTACAAAGGGACTCCTGGATGTTTGGTACCCAAAAGGGATGTTTATAAAAATACAGTTTTGCATAAGGACTGTTACATATGCACAGATGTAGGTGTGTATCAGAACAGAATATGCACTTTGGGGAAATTAAATAAATACAGCTTGAAAAAGTAGACTCAAGTATGGTTATAAATCTCAAAAAAGAAATAGCTCTAATTTATTGCCCATGTGGGAGAAATTCTGGGTGTACTCTTTCTGGATGTACTTTCCTCTCCACTGTTACAACTATGGCACAGAGGGGTAATTATCAGTTTGTGAATTCTACTGTGAAAGGACCAAAGTGACCTCATTGGAAATGTTTCCCAGAGACTCTCCTTTGCTTTCTAAAATAATATAATTGGATGTGAAATAAATGGCTAGCACATTTTAAAACATGTATACTGTAAAGTGACGGCAAACTTGGAAAAACTAGAAGTGCGTAAATGCTATGGTTGTGTCAGCAAAGGGGGCATAGACTCTTGTGTTTTGGGGGAACATATTAAATTACATAATCTTTTAAAAATGCAATAAAAAAACAATGTTCAAAAGGTTCCTAAAGCAATTCCATGTTAATTTGGCTTTTGGTAAATAAAACTCTAAGGAAAACTTTCTTCCAAATGTGAGTGTGTCACAGTGAAAATCTACTGACATGGAATGAAGATGAAATAAGTAGTATTTCCCCTTAAATACAAAGGAATTATGGTTATGCTTCACTAACTAGAGACAATAACATCATTTAAAAGCTATGGTAATTTTTATGAGTTGTAGTGAGACCAATTTACTTTGAAGGATAATTGTCAAAGTAAATAGAGGTTATAAACTGCGACATATTGTGGGATACTTTAATTTACTGTGATTAAGACAGAACAAAGCAGATAGTAGATTCTAAACAAATGATTTGATAAAGATGTTGAATACTACAAAATCAATTATATTGTCCTTTAAATAATGTCCATTTTATAAATGCCATAAGGTTTATTAAATTTAAGAAGTCGCTTTAAGTCTTTCATAATGTCTGGAGATATAA